AGGGGAAAAAAAAAAAAGAAGATGGTAACAGAAAACGGTAAGCTTACTGAGATATAACATGAGCAATTGCTGCACCACTTACACCAAAATCGAGTAGGAAGATGAATATAGGATCCAATATAACATTCGCCAAATCACCAACCACTATACAAAAAGTCATGAAAAAACGTAGAATATTGGAATCGAGTGGCATAAACATTAATGTTTGTTGCTTTGCAGAAACTTCCATGATAAAAGGCTTTATTTAGTTACCAGTTGCATATAAAGGAGTTTTTGTATCCTTTAGCCCTCGAAAAACACCTTGCACAGCCAATGAGAGAAGGACAGCTGGAGCTCCGAGTGACCTCAATGTTAAGTACCTAAGTGCCGGTTTCAGCATTGGAGAATCCTACAAACATTTAATAAATTACAAGAGAACACAAATTTATTTTTCGAATTACAGTTTACGACTCCCCTTAACCACACTCTCGACAGATGCAGATTGTAAACTAAGACGTCTAGAGTGTATTTGCAATTTTGAAAGACTTCTGGGTTGTTTTATAGTTCGGCTAATTCGAAACGTAGTTCTGTAATTGTTCGAATAATTTCCATGAAGCAAATGTAGTTTGGTGAAAATTACTGGAAAACTTACCGTTTTCACCCCCATGTAACTTAATAGAGGTTTTGCAGTGCAAATGAGGGTAACAGCTTGGATGAGGCCAAGGGCACCCCCGATAATCAAAGCCGATGAAGCTGATGAAATATGTTTTTTGCCATCAAACTCTTCATAATCCACTGGAAAACACAAATACTTATATAATATCAGTTCAATACAATATTAGAACTCTTATTGTGTCAGTACAAGCCAAAAAAGAAACAAAAAGACACTGTTTAGATAGTATGCTCATACAGTAATCAAGAATGGGTTGGGCTAATACCGGTTTTAGGCACCAAATGTTTCTTTTCGATGTTCAGTGCAGCTTGTTCCTCGACTAGTTCAATGCCTTCACATTCACCTACCGAACGCCCTTTAGCATTTTCCTCTGCCACAAAAGAAGTAGTAACGCTGACGAGTGGAAAAATAGCGATTTTCGATGCTTGATTCATGATAGCAATAGAAATTCCAACGGCAGCAAGCTCCACAGGACCTGGATGACAATATAAATGAGCATAATAAATGCAAATTGGTACTACACTATTTTTTTTTTAAGTAATACTTTGATTTGAATGTTTGTTGTTGTGAAAAATCATACCTATATGGCCGATAAATGCAGTATCAACAAGAGAGGCAATGGGGTCCGCGGCTAGAGCTAGGGCTGCAGGTAATGCAATTCGAGCTATCTCAAGACCCAATTCATCTTTCTTGAAAAGCCCCCTGTTAGATTGAGTCTAGAAAATTAACTCAAAGCATAATTAACAATGAAACATTCAGTTTTGAATGTTGAATATCAATGTATAATATCAGATGAAAGAGTACCTTGGGTTCTTGAATAAATCCCATAAAAGACTGTTGCCCATATTCTTTCAAAGAGGCAAAATGGATCTCAACAAGGTTGTTTCTGAAAATTTTTCTTCCCCATGGAAATGTTAATCCTCAAATTCTGATGCTTGATTTCCCACGGTCAAAAAATAATGGTTGATCACAAGTTATTGCAAGAAAAAAAAAGGACAACACAAAAGATGAAGAATGTAAAAGCAATAATCAAAGACAGGTGAAGCAGTCACTCTTAGGATATCGAGAAAAATACAAAGAACCTTGAAAGAAAGGAAACAATAACATGAATAGTTTTTGAATCGATCAAGAAATGAACATTGGAAAAAGATCCCAGAACTGTCCAAGAAATTAAGAGCATACAATAAAATATTCTTATTTAATTAGGCAAAAAAGCAACCATTTTGACCATGATGGCCTAGATAAACCTCCCTCAGTTGTCAGAACACCCAGAACACACTGCAAGAAGGTTAGGTCGTTACTAACATCAGCTGATAATATTATATTAGTTTACATATATCTGTGTGTGTGTGTGTGTGTGTGTGTTTAATAAAGAAAAACAGCCTACAATTTATGTATTTAAAACGATTACTTCATGAGGGTGCAAGCTCTTGATTTTTTAATCAGATGAAGTTTTAGACGACTGATTTCAAGAACCAGCAGAGATAGAATAAATCTCTACTCAGTAGAGATATATTCTAGTAAAAAGAAAATCTCTACTGGATGTATGCATTTTATCCTAGTCTCTACTGATTAGTCCCATTAATAATTCATGCAACAGCTCGTAGTAGGCTATTCTTTTAGGAACCTTGTCAGAAGCATTTCAAATTTTCTTTTAAGAAATCATTATTTTTTTCTAGTACTTTTCCTTTTTTCAGGTAATAATATGGCCATCTTCTCAAGAGGAGCCATTGCCAGAATTCAACTGTCATCCTGAAAAAATCAGGATCAAAATGTATCCTCATTCCTCCCCAAACAAAAACA